CAGTGTCGTGTCGTTGCCGGACGGCCGAGTTTTCATGCAGTCCCGGCGGCCGGTGCCCAAACTTCGTGGTTCCGTGACTCCTCTGTTGCGGTGGAAGTTGGAGGACAGGCATGGATCTCGAGGCTGTAAACAATGTCAATTTCAGGCCAGAAAGCTCGCCGCCGACCTCTGGCAGCTCCATTACACGGAAATTTTAGGTGCCGGGCGGAGGGTATGTTTTATGGAACTGAACCGGATCGGCCGGTCCGTCGGTCTGCTTTCCGCAAAACCAACCCAACCTAGTTTCACCGCTACATTAAAAAAATATATTTTTATTTTCATCTAATGACAAATATATTAATTTCATACGCACATAGAATGTAATTTCATATAATTAAAATTTGACTTTAAATAACCAAGTTGTAATTTTTAGAAGCTTTGGTTTAATGAGCTAAAGGTATAGTTAAATAAAATGATCAAATAATTGCAAAAACAGTGAATGGTATAATTAAGTAATCGATCATGGAAGACCATGTGAGTATAGGATAAGTTAAAATTATGGAAGTGGGAGTAGCATTTGGCCTACCAAATTAAAAATTGGACCAAACGATGTGATTTCAACGAAAGTGACTAAATTAATTAAAGGGTTAAAGAAACACAATGATTAAAATGTCCAAGTAAGTGACCACTCAAAAACCCATTTAAAGCAAATATCTTTATTTCCTAAAAAACATACCCATAAAGAGTATTTCTTCTGTTTACCACAGAGAGCGAGGGCTGAAAATTACCCAACATATTAAGTTACACGTATTTTAAGATAATTTTTATTTACGTGACATCGGACCACATAAAAAAACATAAAAGTTGAGTTGATTGGTGTAGTTCAAAATAAAAGACTATCAAATATTCAATTTTTATCCAATTATACGATAAATAGTTATGATGTTGTTTGACGTGTAATGATGGATAATGCAAGGAGACTAGCTCAAGATGAGTCATGCAAACCCATTTGTCTTAAGTTTAAGACAGAAAATGTTCATATTTTATCATGAGTAAAAGTTACCCAAGGTCCAAAACTATATAATAAAAAAAAATATAAAATAATATCAAGATCTAGGCCTATAAACCTATGGTCCTTATAGGCTTTAATAAAACGACAAAGGCTCCAACACAAAGCCTCTGAAACTTTAGCGTAGTTGAGAATGAGAGGGAAAGAGAATAAAAAAGTAGGCATGTTAATAAGCTACAGCAAATCTCATAAAATGATTCTTCCCTAAGTTTACACACATCCATAATTAAATAATTCCCCTATGATTCCACTCGCACTGCAATCATTGCTGAAGCTGTAAGCAAGTGGATTAAACAAATCAAACCCCCATTATTTTAGAACCCTAAAATCATCAGATCCAATTTTCAATACGCATATATCATTGAAAAAGCCTCGCCTGCTTCCAACTTAGATCAGATACTGACATTATCGCTCCAGTCATCATAATAGAGTACTTCTCTATGTTGCAACATTTAACATTTTCTTCCTTCCGCCTTATATAATATGGTTTTGTGACAATTCAATTTTAATTTCTCTTAATAAATACCCATTCATGCAGGAGATCAAATTTAAAGGGTAAATACGGGTTTGATACAGGGCCAAGTACGGGCAGTCACAGTACCCCACGTTTGTGGTGGGTCCCATTGTCCTTCTACGAGCCGTTCAATGTGCGCATCATCACGAACCCCACCCCTTAATTTTTAGTTAATTAGCTCTTTTAAATCACTAATCAATGTGTTATGAATGTCATTTGTTGATACATCCATTGAATCCTCGACACGTGTAGCCAGCCATACACGCGGTGTTCGCTGAGAGGACGAGCAACCAGTTAGAGAAGTCTGGCTTCATGTACACGTGGATCGTGGACCACGAATCATCAGTATTAGGTTTAGTCAAAGTAGGGTTGTTTTTTCCGGACAGGCGCCGTAAATGTGATTTAAAGTGATAAACTTGGGTAATAATAAACCTGCGACCAAATATTTTATATGATTTAATGAACTTGATGTTTGCCCATGATCGGACGGGAGAAAATTAATCTGATTAAATGAGTTCTGGGTGATGACATACAATTAAGCAAATTAATTAGTAACAAAAGACAATTAATGTTGCCGCTTTGCAACAAAAAAGCACAGAGAAATGGTGAACTCAAAAAAGAAAAAAAAAAAGAAAAAAAACAGCACAGAGAATGACAGCAGGCGCCTTGAACAGAGCGTGGAACTTAGGACAAGTCCATTTAATTTAAGAGTTAATTATCAGTAGGGAAATATTATCGGTTTCGTGGCTGTCTTGTCGTCTTCTACCCCATTTCTTATCATGCATCTGATTGAAGCTTGGACTTGAGGGAAATGCAAATAAAATGAACACAAATTCACATGAAATGCGAGGAATAAAGTTTGTTATATATACAACACATTCGCCTTCCAATCCCTGCCCATGTGTTGTTAATCTTTTTTTGGCCCCCCCCTTTTATATTTTTATCCAATTGGAGTCCCAGTGTAAGAGGGGGAGTATTGGAATAGGATAGTATACTCACTGTTTAACAGAGAGGTATTTTTCCTTACGGGGAAATTTATTTCAATAATGGCTAAAGGTCGGAAATTGACGACGAGTCAGAGCGAGCGATTACTCGGTAGCTATAGCTACAGTCATAGCCAAGGCAATACCGAGACAGACTCGTCGGAACTGGGCGAAGAGGATGTTTGGCCGATGCCGGATCGCGTGGAGACGGACCGGGAGGATTTCGGCGAAGAGAATTCGTTGCCCTGTGTTGGCGGAGGGAGAAAAAGTCACGGAGAGATTCCTGTGAGGACGGGGAGTGGGGTTCCTCGTGAGCGACACGTAGGAGGACTATCGCTGGCATTTGAAGATCCGGAAAGGATGGCCTCGGCGAGAATCGTGCATCGGTTTCGGGGGCACGACACGGTGGCGTCTCCACGAGGGCGGCAGATGGCTACGTCAGCGCCCGTGAACGTGCCGGATTGGAGCAAGATTCTCCGAGTAGACTCGGTGGATTCGCTACACGAGTTGGACGAGCCGTTGGATGACCCGGATTCGGAGATCGTTCCGCCACATGAGTACTTGGCCAGAAGTCGAAAAAAGAACGCCACTTCGGGTTTCGTCGGTGTCGGGCGGACCCTGAAGGGTCGGGACATGAGACGGGTCCGGGATGCGGTTTGGAGACAGACCGGGTTCGATGGCTAAAATTAAAAAATCAAATCGTCATTAGGAGCGAGATTCATGACTATTAATTCCAGAATTGAAGATCAACCAAGGATTAATTAATATTGTGAAAATGGGATAAATTCCTTTTTTCCCTTGGATCGCAGTTGACTCGGTTAATCGGGTAAACCCGGTGGCAACTCATCCTCCCAGATTTCCAAGTATGATTATTATTATTTTTTTATATATATATAAAAAAAAAAAAAAAAAATCCAATTCAAGACTGGCCGACCGGTGGCCGGAATGGAATTTGAAAACCAACCCATCTCTTTTCACTCTGTTTGTTATGTTATAATTCTCCCAATTTGAGTACAGGGTCTCCTTTCCACAAATTAAATTTTTTGTCAACGGCTATATACAATTAGGATTGGTTTTTTTCTTTTTTCTTTTTTCTTTTTTAAATGAGGGTTCTTAGAGCGAAGAAGCAATTTGAAGCCCTTTCATCATCAACTATTGGGTCGGGTCGGGTCGGGTCGGATTATTAGCTGTTCAAACCCTAAAAAAATGGTTGTTCTCTTTCTGGGTGATGCATTATCCCCTCCCTGAATTCTCAAAATATTCTGATTTTTTGGACCTACAAAATCGGAGGGACGGTAATCAAAATTGGGCCGTGGCTAGTTGCAGTCCAGTTAAAAAGGTGTATATGGGCCGGGATACAAGGAGCGAAAAATGCGGATCTTTTATGATGAATTTGGACCCAGCTCAATTATTAATTCTCATTTTACACGTGTCAATTTACATTCAATGCAAAACCTTGTTTTTAATTGTTTTCTTTTTTTTTTATTTGAAAGAGGAAATTATTGATGTAGGTTGCTTGAGCGTAAGAAAGTGAGTTTGCAATTTCCATAAGTTAAGGTGAAGAATTGTGTAATTGTTTTTTTTTTTTTTTTTTTTTTTCCATTTTTATAAAAATTAATTTCGATAATAAAATGTAAAATAATTCTAAAAAATATGGCGTGGAACTTATTTGTAGATAAGAGACGAAGGGAAGGGTAGGGTTGTATAGTAAATTTAAAAAGGTTGTAGACCAATTGAATCAAGATTGAAAATGATATTGATGTAAGATTCGAAAAGAAATGTGATTAGCGTTCATAAGGATTCCCAATTAATTTCATTTCAACCTTTTAGCAAATGACATAAAAAAAAAATTATTCCTATTTTTTATAAGAATTGAAATGAAATAACATAATAAATTAAATTAAATGTTTATTATAATAAAATTATTAATAGAAAATAAAATAAGATACCCTTTTTAGTTGTTGTGATTCTCGTCAATTATCTTGTTCTCTTAGGGAAGGAACTTAGAGCAAATGTCATCGAAGAAATTATCTTTTATTGATATCTCATAAACTAAAATAAATAATTATTTGTTTGCTTTTTTACTATCAACAAAATTAATATAATAAAATATATATAACAAATAAATGTATATAAAAATGTGTTGTTTTTCCTGGCCACAAAAATACATTTTGGTCCACTTTAAATCCAAATGCCAACAGTTATTCATACAAAAACGTTATGAATTTAATGGATGAAATTTAAAGGTGAGACTTTCTCAAAGGAAAAATAATTAAAAGTTGAGTGTTAAAATTAACTCAAATAAGAAGAGGAAAAAGAAAGAAAAAAAAAAAATGCAGCTTCCAATGCAATTCTCAAGAACAAGAACCGCCTTTGTTGAGTTGACTAAATTCAGCTTTTAAAGTTCAGTGACGAACACGGTGACCTCTGGTTGGCCTTATTATCAAGCAATTTTCACCAAGCTTTGATATCTTTGGGTTTTGCTTTCATACGCTTGAACTTCCATTCCTCTTTCGTCTCACAAAATCCAAATTTAGAGGTAACCTTTTCGTGTTCTTCTTCCCTCCAACGCGTAAAATCCCTTTGTTCTCCAACCTGGATACGACTTGGGCGGCGGATTTGTTCTTCAGCATTCCCAGAAATTCAATCCCCATTTGGGTTTACTGTTCTTTTACTGAAAATATCCCTCTCATCCCTCTCCACATTGACACTTTCTGTGTAGATTATGGGTTGCTGTAGCAGCACGCAAAAGCCTCCAACATCAGGTCTTAATGGGTTTGATTCGGCGACAGGGATTGCAACCAGAGGTCCATATCAATCTTACCAACCTCAGTCTACTGTCCCGACACAGAAGGTAACAGCCCCTCAAACCCAAATCCCATCTAATAGAAATCAGCCTCAGCCGCCTCCAACAGCGGAGAATCCACCGTCAGCTTCCGCTTTCTCAAAGCCTGCGGTTGCTACTCCTAGAACAGCGCAACATCATCCAGACACCATTCTGGGTAGGCCCTATGATGATATTAAAAAGTACTATACTCTTGGAAAAGAACTGGGTAGAGGTCAATTTGGTATTACCTATTTATGCACTGAGAATTCCACTGGCCAAACTTACGCCTGCAAGTCTATACTCAAACGGAAGCTTATTAGTAAGAATGATAAGGATGATATGAAGAGGGAAATTCTGATTCTCCAGCATCTTTCTGGACAACCAAACATTGTTGAGTTCAAAGGTGCTTATGAGGATAGGTATTCGGTTCATCTGGTGATGGAACTTTGTGCTGGTGGGGAGCTTTTTGATAGGATTATTGCGCAGGGTCAATACTCTGAGAAGGCTGCTGCTGAAATTTGTCGTGCTATTGTGAATGTTGTTCAAATATGCCATTTCATGGGGGTTATGCACCGTGATCTGAAGCCTGAAAATTTCTTGTTGTCTAGCAAGAAAGAGGGAGCAATGTTGAAGGCTACTGATTTTGGACTGTCTGTTTTCATTGAAGAAGGTTCATCTTTTTGTTTTCTTTTCCCCTCTTGCATTCATTTGGTTTCTGAACAAAAAAGTTAAAACCCTTTCTACTTACGGAGAATATATACTTACTTTTTCGTATGTGGAAGTAGATGCAGGTCATTCACATGTTAAGTAGTGAGATTATTCCGATGCCACCATGGCTGAACTGAACTCCATGTTGTATGTGAATTGTGGTTATCACTACATTTCAGCAATTTGTACTTTTCATTCGACAAGTTTCAAAACTTCAAAAGTTAATCAAATCTGCCGTGCATTTGAGGCAATATGATCATCATGTGTCCTATTCTCCCAGACAATGGGACAAAGCAGAGACAAGAAAACGACAATTAACATAGATAATGATGATTAATTTTGGGATTGTGTTTACAATTTTGTAGAATTTGGTTGATACTTAGATCATAGATGTATAGCCAGTCAAAATCATTAGTTTGGCATCTCTTAATGGACCCAGATTGTGAATTTCATTCTATTTCCCGCCCATTTTTCTATCATTCATAACGATTTTGTATGTGACGAAGCTTCTATTAATATCTTACTCTCTTGTCTCACTTGAAGAAATGAAAACTGTATTTTGGATGTAATCTCAGGTAAAGTGTACCGTGACATAGTTGGTAGTGCGTACTATGTTGCTCCTGAAGTGTTGAGGCGAAATTATGGGAAGGAAATTGATGTTTGGAGTGCTGGAGTTATTTTGTACATCCTTCTCAGTGGTGTGCCTCCATTTTGGGCAGGTAAATTATATCACAGTTTCAGTTTCTAAAACTATGAGATGAAAATGTGTTGAATTTCCTGTCTCAATTTGAAATGGCAGAAAACGAGAAAGGAATATTTGATGCCGTACTGCAAGGAGACATCGATTTTGTTAGTGCACCGTGGCCGACCATATCCGAAAGTGCTAAAGATCTTGTGAGGAAAATGCTGACACAGGATCCGAGGAAGAGGATTACTCCTTCACAAGTTCTAGGTATCAACCAATCCTTTGATATATGTGTTTAAGAAAGGTTTTTGGTTTCACATTTGGCTCTCCTCTTGGTTTTTCTGCAATGCTGCTGCCATTTATCTAGGCTAATGTTATTAGTTGTGTCTTCATCTAGAACATCCATGGATCAGAGAAGGTGGAGAAGCATCAGACAAGCCAATCGATAACGCCGTTCTGGCTAGAATGAAGCAATTCAGGGCAATGAATAAGCTTAAGAAGCTTGCTTTGAAGGTAATTAATTAATACGCTGCAATCAGGACTCGGGTTCGTAGAGGAAATGTTGTCTTGCTTTCTAGGACTGCATGAACATAATTGATGCACACCACACTGCATTTATTTTGTGCATATTGAGAACATAAAGATATCTGATGTATATGTTGCCCGTCTCTGTGGAGCTAAGGATGACGATGATGTTAGTATCCTAAGCAAATTAAGTAGTTTAATAGCATAGTTGCTTCATTTTCAATTTACAATTCGTCCTCTTTGGGCTTTTCCTTAGGTTTTTAAAATACGTCTACTAGTGAGAGTTTCTACACCTTTATAAAGAATGCTTCGTTCTCCTCTCCAATCGATGTGAAGTTCGTGTGACTACCTGTTTTATTTGATTCGTGTGTCTGTTCATATTTTTCTCGTAAGGAGGCCATGTTTTCTTTACCTCCTATGTGAACTTTTTGTCGTTCATGCAACTCTCAATTCTTACATTTGAGCCTCACTGATATACATCTTAGGTCATTGCGGAAAACTTATCTGAAGAAGAAATCAAGGGCCTTAAAGCCATGTTCGCAAACATAGATACTGACAATAGTGGCACAATCACCTATGAAGAATTGAAGACAGGCTTAGCTCGTCTTGGTTCACGGCTCTCAGAGGCTGAAGTGAAGCAGCTAATGGAAGCTGTAAGTAAATAAACACTTATCTCCAATGCTTTTAATTGGTTTTTGCTTAAGAACTCTCTCATAGCAAGGTTCAAACTTTTCAGGCCGACGTGGATGGAAACGGATCAATCGACTACATTGAATTTATCTCTGCAACAATGCACAGGCACAGACTAGAAAGAGATGAACACTTATACAAAGCATTTCAGTTTTTCGACAAGGATAGTAGTGGGTAAGTCAGGAACTTTCTGATCCTCACTTAATCCAAATCTGTAATTCAATGGTTTGCAATGACTCAAAATATGTATATAGCATCACATTACCGAGCTATTGGTCTGATAACAGATACATTACAAAAGACGAGCTGGAGGCTGCCATGAAGGATTATGGCATGGGTGATGAAGCCAGCATCAGGGAAATCATCTCTGAGGTTGACACAGATAATGTAAGTTGTTCAAGTTTTAAAAGAGAAGCTTTTCTTGTGGGTCTGTTGATTTTCAACGCACTGTTCTTTGCATGGCAGGATGGTAGAATCAACTACCAGGAATTCTGCGCAATGATGAGAAGTGGAACAACGCAACCAGGAAAGCTCTTTTAATTTCTTATTAGCAAATTCAAACTTCAAAGGGGTCGGTGAATCTGACGGATTGCCAGAACCTCTTAAATTCAGACGTCAAAATAGTTGTCTGGTTTTTTCTCTTTCTTTTACTGCCTTAGCTTGAGATCAGTACTTCCCTGAGAAATAGAGGTAAGTTGTATGTATATGTAGCCTGTCTTTTTCTCTTTTAGCTGTTACCTAACCGAAGAATCCTGCAAGAGCAAGCTAATAGTTTTCATTCTTGTCATTTCCAGTTCTGTTTGTTGGTTGAACTATTGTTTAGAAGTCTCATTCCATTAGAACAAATCAGTATCTGTTGGAATAAGATTGAAAGAACAAGAACTGTCTAATCTGATCAATTTCTTAAGACATTCTTCTTAAAAAAATGTGTTCTTTGATGTAATGTGCTTGCATTATCAAAATGCACACACTGATATCACATGAACAAGAAGCCACTCTGTTTATGGATGATTCTACCGTCTACCCCATTTTATGATTTTGTTGTTAAAACATCAGCGATTCCAGAAAACTCCAACAGTGAGCAGAAAGAACAGTTCTCAGCTCGCATGAATTATATTGCTAATGACGAACACTAAATATAAATCCCCCCTTTCATATTTATATCAAGGCGATCAGGACCTTTGGTGCAGCTTCTTGGGGTTTTGAACTCTAGATTCATGTAGGAAGCAGATTCCACAACTGTTCTGTTGAATCCTTTTGCATTGAACATCCGCAACAAATGACATATGTGGGGAGAATACCAGTTTACTCTCGACCTGTTCTACCGAAATATCTCAACTATGACCTGAAATGGAAATCATCCAAGTCAGGATCAGACCAGATGAAATGGATTGGATTTTCCTTCTCCAGCTCTTCAATTGGATGAGTCGCAAGCTTTTCTGTGTTTCCAGAATGCCCTGAAATAACCTCTGAGGATATCAATGGATGCAGCCTAATTATCATTGGCTCACTAAAGGTCGTCCCAAATAAAAAGCTTCGCGATGGGTTCCCCAGCAATGTCGATCCGTTGAACAGATAAACTACAACAACAGCATGCTTCTGATGATCCTGCCAATGATTCAAATACTGATACTACTTGGACTAGAAACAATACACCTTACATGTAACATGAACATGTCTAAAGGAATGTTCCGCCCAGTGCAGGAACTTGTGGTGAAGTAAGACGGATGGCTGTTGAGAGAGTATCCAAGCTTCCCTTGGGTGATTTTGGTGTCAGTTGAGCCCAGTGACGCCATAGTCGCAGTTTTCCTCTTCTCAAATTCTATTCTCTTTGCTGCTTTCAAAAGCCTCCCCGAAATCCCAACCGGAAACGAAGGAGCGGGAAACGGCGGGAGATACAGATAGAAGGAGTGAAACTGGTTCGCCATTGAATTGGGCCGATGGCCTGTATATTCACTCAAACATGGGCCGACGGAAGCCCATTCGGTTTACCCTTTTCGTCTCCTTTCTGGGCGGGGGGCTGTGGTTCTGGGATAACGGACAAATCAAACTTGGACGAATTAGAGTCGTGTAGCCGCATATACCATCCGCAGATGGACAAAGATCACCAGCAATCTTTGTCCAAATGCTTGATCACCAGCAATCTGCAACGATCAAATCGTTATCACAAACCTGATCCAAATCGTTACCTCATTTCCCTCATACCAGAACAAAAGCTCTAAGACGGAGAACAAGACCACAGAGAAAGACATTTGAAAGCAAATTTGAACTCCACTTAGCAGACCCTCTTCTCTGAATCGGAGCCCGAGTAGGTCATCCATTAAAGATCATGGCTTGCTCAAACTTTACAATGTGGGTATCCTCAAAATCGTCTTCATCCGATGACTCCGCTCTATCCTTTCGGCATTTTAACCCACTTCAAGTTCCTTTGCAAGGCTCTGCCTCGCGATCCTCATCTGTCACTCCGATTCATTGTGGCCTCCGTGAGCTTCGAGAACGGATCGATTCAGTGAAGAACACCCAGAAAATTACTGAGGCTATGAAGCTCGTTGCTGCTGCCAAAGTGCGTAGAGCTCAAGAAGCTGTTGTAAATGGAAGACCATTCTCGGAATCTCTAGTTGAAGTTCTTTACAACATCAACGAGCAGCTCCAAACCGAAGATATAGATGTTCCTCTTACAAACGTCCGACCGGTTAAGAAGGTTGCTTTGATTGTTGTAACAGGGGATCGTGGCCTCTGCGGAAGTTTCAATAACATGATCATCAAAAAGGCAGAGTCCAGAATCGCAGAATTGAAGACCCTTGGCCTTGATTATACGGTTATTAGCGTTGGCAAGAAGGGAAATTCGTATTTCCTTCGCCGGCCTTACATCCCAGTAGATAGATTTCTTGAGGGCGGTTCACTTCCCACAGCTAAAGAAGCTCAAGCCATTGCAGACGATGTTTTTTCCCTCTTTGTTAGCGAAGAGGTAGACAAAGTCGAGCTTCTGTACACCAAATTCGTGTCATTAGTTAAATCGGACCCTGTGATCCACACACTGCTTCCATTGTCCCCGAAAGGAGACATTTGTGATATAAATGGTGTTTGTGTCGATGCCGCAGAGGACGAGTTCTTCAGATTGACGACAAAGGAAGGAAAATTAACCGTAGAGAGAGATGCCGTGAGAACAAAAACCTCGGATTTTTCCCCAATTTTGCAGTTTGAGCAGGACCCAGTTCAGATTCTTGATGCTTTATTACCTCTCTATTTGAACAGTCAAATTTTGAGGTCATTGCAAGAATCATTAGGCAGTGAACTTGCGGCCAGAATGAGTGCCATGAGCAGTGCTACTGATAATGCAAGCGAGTCGAAGAAGACGCTCTCTATTGTCTACAACAGACAGCGTCAAGCCAAAATCACTGGCGAGATTTTGGAGATTGTTGCTGGTGCCAACGCTTTGACTTGAGTCAATTATGCTACTTGTAGGTACTTCCCACTGAAAATCATTAAACGTAAACTGTGCCCATTTAAGAACTATGACATATTTAACAAGTTCCTTCTAAGTCTCATCCCATCATAAACCAGTGCAATGAGACAATGGGACAACGCATCTTGGAAAATAAGACAATTTTATCCACTTTTTGGTCTTTTTGACGCTATGGTTGTTGATAATTCTTGTAATATCTGCACTTCTCGGTGCAGCTCTGCTCTCTTTAGCGTTGTTCGAGTATCCATATATATAATAAACGTAACTATTGGGGCCTTTTGGCCTTATGGAGAATCACAGTTCATCTCAACTCTATGTAACGTCCCTTTTATTTCTAGCTTTGGTTTCAAACAGGATAATTTATGTGCTTCTTTAAGCCTATATTTTCAATGTCAAAGGTTATCAGATCATTAGAAGTTCAAGTTTTCCCTTAATCTGCATTCCACAAATGTGCAAGCCAAGGAAAGTTTGGTGACTCTTTGTCAAAAGAGGATAAAAAACAGTAGAATTTGATTGATGATTGATCTGTATGATATGAACTGTTCTCTTACAGGCCTTGTGTATATTTTTTAATATTAATCGCAGCTCTAAAGATTCATGTTGTCTCACAGAATGTCGACATCCCATGTATGCAGATTTGTTTTAATCACTGCCTCTCCTTTCTGTCTATTGCTATAATGACCATAACCATGAATAAAACACACCTCTACTTCGTCGGTAAACATAAGTAATCAATAAAGTAGAATTGAATAATGACATGCTTAATTATGCATCATAAAGGGAAACAATTTGATGCAGACGAACAAATCAGCAGCAGGCTAAGCGATGTGGATAGACACAAAAGAAGTTGAAAATGGTGGTGGGAAGCCATAGTTTTTGCAAGAGAGGATGAAATCCCATCCCGGTGAAGGAAAGTGATTAAATGAATGAAAAAAAGGTACCGTCTGATCTTATCTCTGCTTTATTCAAAGTATTTTCTTTTTCTTCCACCACAGATATAAAAGGGTTTTCATTATCTTAATGATTATCACACTCTATATGATTTTTGATTGCCCCATTATATGATTTTCTGTTCTTTCTTTCTTTCTTACTTGGAATCCACATAGTCTTGAACTGTTTAAAGGTGAAAGTCCTACTCAGCACTGCAGTTCATTTGTAAACTCAGTCTTTTTGAACTCTAACTCTCACTCTTTCTGATTGTGGTGGTGGTGGTTAAGCAAAAATCTAAGTTAGGCGCATTTAATCAAATCGCCACGTCTCCCTCTGAGGGAGGGCCATCTGGTTCATGTCATTTCAGAGTATTTTTTGCCTGTATATCTTTGGCAAAAGTGTTGGTTTTGGTAAAAAAAAAGTTCCCATTTCAAAAGTAAGCATTCTTTGGAGTGTTCAATTGGAATACAACGACACCCAATAAAAGGAATTAAAAAAATGTTTGATTGTTTGTCAAAAACCGAGGTGGTTTCATGTTTTTTTTTTTTCCTTCTTCTGTCGAATAGGTTTGATTTTTGTATGAATGAATGAGTTCAACTGGGAAGATTTCCAAATAGAAAAAGAAGAGAAGGTGGATGATTTTGTTGTTTCATGAAACATGCCCTCTGCATGAACCGAACATGGAGGGTTGACCCACACACGCTCTCGTGTCATTTTCGAACAGACATTATGATTTGAGCTTGAGAAGACACCTCACCGTCTCTCCCTCAATACCAAGACAGGTGCCTCTCTCTCTCTCTTGTCTTCTCTCTCCCCCATAAATCCCAAAGCTCCTTGAAACATTGGAGATTGAAGTAGTATGGATGGAAATTTTGAAGTGCTTAAGATCCTTGGTGGCCAAAACTTGTGTCACATATCTCAATGCAGCAGCAAGGCAGAAGCAAATTAAGTGCTTTTACTCCTCTGGCACCTCCTTCAAGGCCAGCTTCAGAGATTGAAAAAAGCAATGGAAATAGATTACTGAGGTTCTCTGACTGTCACTAGGAATGAGATGGGTTGTGCTGCGACTTAAGAGGATAAGGTTACGGAAATCAGTGAGGTTTTGGTCAGACTCTTCGAGTCTCTTACTCATCGTTCCCCATCATCTTTCCCAATCAAAACCCACCCTTTTCTTCTAAACATTCAACACCAACTTCCCTTCATCTTCTTTTGCTTTTGCTTTGCTTTTTGTTTGAGTTTCCACCATCAGTTGAGCGAGTCTTTATTTATAACTCAGTTTCCCTTCAAATCCCATCCTTTCTCTTCCAATTATTTGAGCTTTTTGATATGCCATGAAAGTACAATTCATCTGTTTTTCGCTATCCTTTTTGGGGTTTCCCTGTTCTTGCTGGGTGTCATTTCTGAGTCTGAACCGAGGCCCTTGAAATCTGTGATTTTCTCTGGTAGTATTCAGGTCAGGCCAAGGGTGATTTCTTTTTATTTTTCTTTACATTTCTTCTCTGGGTTTGTCACGGTTACTTTTGGGGCTCTGCACCTCACCCTGCATCTTACTCATTTTCAGAAAGAAATAAAAATCTGATAAATATCCGTGTGAAAGCCCAGTTTCTTTTGAAGAGTGATCAAGTAAGTTCATTTCATATTGCTTCTCTCTCTCACACTCTCTGTTCCTTTTTGTTCCCGAGGAGATTACCCAGTTCAGTTCCATCGCATTCTCACTTTCTTCAGCACCAAAAATGATGAAATATGTTATTTCCCCCATATATTTATATTGGAACTAGCGACTCTGTTTTACTCATTGTTAACAACTGATTTCTTTTTCCATTTTTGTTGTACTCATCTTTCTCTTATTGGCTCATGGACTAAACTTGTTTTTGTGTTTTAGATCAACCAGTATGGCAGGTTCCAACACCAGATGGAGCCATGGGTTTCATGGAAAATCAATCAAAGACGAAGACTTTGATGAAGAACAAGCGTGGGGCTTTCCCAGCGAAACCAAAACAGAAGAAGCTTCTACCCCTGTGGCAACAAAATTCAAGCACTTCAATTCATCACCCTCTTCTTCTTCTAACTCCTCTGCTTGGTGCATGCAGATCAGCTCTGCTCCAAAAATGATCCCAAAAGCCAAAACCACACCCAATCAAGAACCCAAAACTGTGAAGAGATCCTCAGCTCCTCTGGAGATACCAGACTGGTCCAAGATATATGGAAGGAATGGCAACATGGGTAGTCCATGGATGGACGAGGGATACGGCTTTATTAACGATGATGAGGAGGAAGAGGAGGAGGAGGATGTTATGGTTCCTCCACATGAATGGATTGCTAGGAAGCTTGCAAGGACCCAAATTTCATCCTTCTCAGTTTGTGAAGGCATTGGAAGAACATTGAAGGGAAGAGATCTAAGTAAAGTGAGGAATGCCATATTGACCAAAACTGGCTTTTTGGAGTAATGCAACAAAAAACCATCATCATCTTCTTCCAGATTTCAGAACAACTGTTCGCGTCTTCTTTTTCTTTTTTTTGGGTCAGTTTTGATCTCACATTTTGGTTGTTTCATTTGAGTTTTTGGTAATTGAATTCCAGTTTTGTAATAAACACAAAACGATAGAGCCTTATATTTTTCGAATTTTTAGTGACGAAACGACGTCGGATTGGATAAGACCATTTTGCAATGCTAGTTTAAAAAATGTCTAAAATATTTTTATTATTTACATAATAAGATTTCATCATTAATTTAGAATCTATTGTGTATCTCTCCACATTGAAGGTAAATTGATTTCATTAATTATATGTTGACTTTAAATTGATTTTAAAATTTAATTCTCATTTTTTGGAAATACATTAAATGGAAATATATTCGAATTGGAAATTATTTTACGATTTTAGCATATCAATTAAATTTCTCATGTTCGGTTTGGGCCACACATTTGGGCCTGTTTTAAATGGACGGTCCAGGAAGAATGTTTGGTTTGGGCCACGAATTTGGGCCTGTTTTAAATGGACGGTCCAGGAAGAGTGATGACTTGAGAAAGAATGGCAGGCTTCTACGTGTTTGAACGGGAAGGAGGTTCCTCCGTCTACGAAACTGACGAGTGATGATCATGGAGTCTCTGTAAATTCTGCTTTCATATTATCCAATTCATCTGCCGATTCATCACTCGAATACTGACGTTCCAAAAGCCTGTTTTTGATCTTCTGTTCTACTGGGTATGTCGTTGCTAACAACCTTTGCCTTTCTTCGCCCTTTTTTCACTTTTGATTATGCTTTTCTTCATACCGAATTCTTTGTGGGTTGTAACGTTTCGCTTTCTTTGATTTTCAGCGATCAATCTTAGCGTCAGATCTTAATTTCTTCCATGGCCAGAAGCTCGTTCAAACTTGGAATTCCTTTGGGTAATCATTTAATTTTACTCTCTCGAAAGCTTCATATTCATATCCGCATGTATTTGGGCATAATACGCGTATTGCTATTGGAATTAGATCAGTTGAATTGATTAGAGGTTGATTGATTTTGTGACTTCGTCGGCCACCTTATTCAAATTCAAGTGCTATTTGGTAGTCGAAGATGTATCTTCGTGTTGTGTTTGTGGGCACCGAATAGGCGAATATCTGTTTGGTTTCATGGTTGTTTCCACTATTTTCAACCCTTTTGGGTAATATAGTCAGAATTATGGGGTACTTTCATGTTTCAACTATTATTGCTTACCCTGTTGGGGTCTTCACGTCTCAGAAAGGAGACGGGCTGAAGCTGCTCGCGTAAGAGAAAAGTACCCGGATAGAATACCTGTAAGAATAATGTTACTTGTTATGTTCTTTGCTTCGTATGGTTTCTTAAATTTACTTTGTCTTTGGTACTGATTCAAATAACTTAAACAGGTGATTGTCGAGAAAGCTGGGAGGAGTAACATTGTTGACATTGATAGGAACAAGTATTCTCTCTCTCTCTCTTCTCTTTATGAATCGGTGAACTAGCATGAATAGATGATAAGATGTTACAACATTCTTAAAGTAGATACTAGCACATATGTTAGTAGCAGCTGCAGTAATATGTTGAATGAAAATAATGGAGTAGCTAGAATGTAGTTTAAAAGTGGAGCTCATGAGAAACAGAAGTATCTAAGTCGATCATAAGAATTATGGTTTACTTGAAAGATCATAATGGCTTTCAGTTGATAACTTCGTTGCATTGGCAATTGTGTGATACATGGAAAAGATGCAATACAGTTAGTCCCAATAAAGCCAGTCCCCTGATTAGTACTTTATAATTCTGGATTAATCTCGAACATGAAGTATTGTTTCATTATAAGCACTTGGACGATCCGTTTTGGAAAGGGCCAATCTTGTATAATCGAACAGTTCTATTCGTTCACCGTAGAATTTTTATCTTACCCATTGCAGATACCTCGTCCCTGCTGATTTAACTGTTGGACAGTTTGTTTACGTTGTTCGGAAACGGATTAAGCTTAGTGCTGAGAGAGCTATATTTGTATTTGTCAAGGACACTCTACCTTCAACTGGTGAGTGATGATCCTTTTTTCTCTCAGTATCTGATCTCATATCGAATGTGGGCATTGTAATAAGTTCTTCTGTACAACAGGTGCTTTGATGTCTGTAATTTATGAGCATAATAAGGATGAAGATGGGTTTCTTTACATGTCATACAGTGGAGAAAACACTTTTGGTGGGTTCCTTGGAGGACAATGATACATTTACATGTAAGTTCCAGCTATGTCCCTTCCGATCAATCAATGCATCAGCTTTCTTTAGCCTTTTTTCCTTCTTTCGTGAACCAATGAAATATAGCTATTGGTGTCTTTTTAGTTGCATATCGAGCAGTGAAATGAGTCTAATATGACATGATGAAACTATATCACTATAGACACAAGCCTGAAACTACTACTACTACTTGATCTGATATCTATAGAATACTGAATATCTCAGCCGAAACAAGTCTTAGAACTCTTTAACATACCACCATGTTTGCCAATATTCAAACACAAATACCAGAATCATGAAAAGTTTCAATCTTTTGCTAACGAGAGTAGATTTCTCTCTCCCTCTCTGTTATTTTGGTGCCAGGGATGTTGTGACAAATCTACCTAATTTACTTGGAGCTTTTCTTGCGAGGGTTCATGATCCACTTGATGCCGTTAGATATTCCACTTCCTATCTTTTTGGCACCAGCCACGGTCGCCGCCATGGCTTTTGCTATTCCAGACTTAGAACCAGTCTTCTTGTCCGAGCCCTGGCCCCCTTTGGCTTTACTGCCGTCGTCTTCTTCCATGGCGCCTATGCCTCCAGCTCCCCATTGGTCTGCCCAGCTTGGTGCTTCTGCAGCCATGGTTTCTAATTCCAACCAATACAACATCAAATTCACTGTCTATCCATTATTGGTGTTGAAAGTAACAGCAACCAAATTTATGCCTAAAAAAACTTATTCATGTTCGTATAACCATTGAATTTACCCAGATTAGTAAAGCAAACAGAAAGTTACAACTTTCTCGCTGTCATATTGTCTAAACCATTTCTAAAACGACATAAACGAAATCTCAGAGATCTGATCTAAAGATTTTATTCATAAGAAAGAGCGTATCATGAACTTCACGAAGCACAAACAAAGTGAGGAATTCGAGGTGTAGGAAGCAACGAGATACAGTTAAAGAGTCATACCTGGGGATCCAAACCGATGAAGAACTACAGAAACTTAGTGAAGGAATTCGAGGAAGATTAGAAAATAATTGGCAGAAACGCCTTTAGGAAGCAGCAGCAGCAGAACGCAGGGCCATAGGTGGATGGGCTGTCTTTTACTCCCACTGCAATATTACCTTTTTAAAGAGCTTGCCAACTCCTCCTGGTTTCCATCTAACGAAGCAAACTATGTCTTTTGGGCATCTTTTTCTTTCTAATAATATATATATATATATATATACACACATCTTTAATCCTCCTCGTAATCACAAGGCATCTTATTCTCACAAGGCCCGTAAACCTGGACCAGATGTCTACTGATATAACCACCTGGGTTCAAATTCAAACTTCTAATCAAATCCATCAATTATTCAAGAATCACATGTATTTTCCCCCCATTAACTTAGATCACACAGTACATGATTAGACTTTTAACTGTTCATTCACAAGTTCATCAAGATTAGAGGGGCCGGCCGTGGGGCATCGGAATAAGAGATGGTCCAAAAAGGAAAAGAAATAAAAGATTCAAATTATAAGAATCGGGGGGAAGAATATTGAACTCAGTGGGCAAAGATCAAAATTCCGACAAGGAAAAACAAAACTGTCAGCAACTATTTCTTTGAAGTTGACTAGGATTGTTGACCAGAATAAAAAAAAAATTATGTCTAGACCACCAACATTCTGAAAGGATGAGTTATAATCAGACGGTTATCTACATCGTATCTGTAAAATGAAAACCACAACCAAATTCATACAACTAATTTAAATTAATTCCCATTTCATTTCTCATCATTCATCATTCATCATCATCATCATCGCCTCCAGCAGTACAATCATTTCGATTTCCTGGTGGATTTTGACCTTTTCAGTTTGCTTGATTTGTCATCCGACCTTGCCCATGTATAACCACTCGGAATCGCAAATGGGTCTACTTCATCTTGACCCGCCGACCACGAGCACCGTTGGTTTCGCTTTGCCGTCGATCCAGCAACTGAGTGGCTGCTGCTTCGCCTCAGCCACGTAGATGACGATGAAGAGGAAGAGGAAGAAGAACAAGACGGCAAAGACGAACAGTGGGAGGAGGATTCAGATGGGTCTTCTCCTCCACTGTTGGCTAATTGCCTTGGACTTGAAAACGGCGTGTAGAATTGTTCCACCGGTGGAAGTTCTACAAATTTGGTGAAGGTAATCACCACTCTCACAGTCGGCACCACTGGAATAGCCACCTACACACACCCAGAACAAAAGATTATTAACCCTTAATTTTCTTATGCGGCCCCCATTTTGAATAAGTTTGAAACTTTTCTTTTCCCCACAAATAATAATTAATAATTATTATTAAAAAAAAAAAAAAAAAAAAAAGGTTCAAAGGGCCCAAGTCCGCGTTGTCTCTAACGCTGCCACGTTATAATGTTTGAGTCAAATTCTATTTGGGTCTTTATTGTTTTTTGTAGTTTTGTGAGAAGAAAAAAGAAAAGCGTAGTAAGGGTGGGGCCCTCTGTAGGGAAACCAGGATTCAGAGAAAACTCAAAAGTGGGGCCCCGGAGGTTTCTTTGTCTAGGGTAAATCCTCGACTGAGATGGACCCCAGCGGTCCATCACCGTAGGATCGAAACAACTCAGTCGATACCATCGCCGTTCAATCACCGACCATGGATGTCAACCAATCAGAGGGCGTCTAAGCCTCACTCTTCCTCGGTAGACTTCCGAGAGACCGTTGCTTGGGCATCAAAAGAACACCCAATTAAAAAAGATCAAAGCAAATCAAATCAAGGAGGCCACAAGAAAGCGAAATTCTAAAGCCCGAGATAGGGCCCACTATAATTGACCCCAGAAAAACGTTTTTCAATTCCTACCTTGACCGGGAAAGTTCCCGGCGGGAACTTGGTGGTGAGTAGCTCCCTCATTCTTCTCACTGCCTTCACTTTGTTCGCCAAAATGTCGAGTAAAGGAAGAAGCTCCTCCGTCTTTAACGGGAACTGCTCCGTTAACCACACCGATGGACGTAAGCTCCTCACGTACTCCTTTTCCTTCGTCTGCGGCGGCTCAACTGGAACCGCCGTAAAATTTGGCCTCACGGCCTTCCTCGGCGGTGGCGCTGTCGCGGATGGTATGTCCACGCTTTTTCTCGGCATCATTACCCATTCCCTCTCTTCCCGAACAAAGCTACTGTGTCTTCGCCGGTCGGTGCTATTCCTGTCCGGCAGCCCGAAACTGGGGTTTTCGGCTACTAAGAACCCATCGTCGTCTTCGTCGAGTTCCAGCGGGAGGACCTGCTCACTACCCGCTACGTCACCTTCGCTGCCAGCTACCTTTCGCGATCGGAAGCTGAACAGGACGTTATGTACTTCGTAAACTTTCGCTTTCCATTCTCCGACGCTTTCGGTTTTCTCTTGTCTTCTCCAGTTGGTTCTTCCAATGAGTTCTGCTTTCGTGACGTCCATTCCAGGCCGGTACACACTCGTCTGAGAGCAGAATCCAGCAATGTCGGACTCACTCATCGGAGCTCCCGCGTTCTCGAAGGCGTCGAAGATTTTACGATCGTCGCGGTTGATCACAAGCAGTGAACCGGAGGAAATGTCGTGGCTGTGATCGCCGTCGCCGAGAAAGAGAAAACTCTGATCCGCGCGCTGGATCTTCAAGCCATCAAATCCAGCCAAAGACGTATCGGCTCGGAGATTACCATCGCGCTTCCAGATTCTGTACGTATCCGACGGTGCAATTTTCCCAACAAACGGAATTACAGAGCTCTCAAAGTGAAACGAAATTTCCATATAGAAATCTCGCATTCGACGAAGAACAGCAATGACGCGCGGCAATCGTCGGCGCCACTTGGACCAAGCAGCACGGTGGTGAACCTGGAGGAGAATGAGCGCAATATCGGAACTCCGGCGACACATAGCCTCCTGCAGAGGGTTCCATCCAGCAGAATTCTGGAGGGAAATATCAGCACCAGCAGAGGAAAGAGTGCGCGCCGCAAAAGCATCCTTAAGCCTAACAGCGAGATGGAGAGGAGTTTCACGGTAGGGCACATCACGGCGGTCGAGGACGGCAGAGATCTTGTCAGCGATGCGCTCCTGAGCAAGAGAATCAGCCTCGGTATGAATAAGAGCAGGATCGGAAAGACGAGGAAGAGTGGAAACGATACGAGAAAGAGCAGAATGATCCGCAAGAGCGACGGCGTAATGGACAGGACTATGAGCATAATCCTTGGGTTTAACGGTCGAAAGCGACGTCGTCGTGGGGGTCGACGACTTCGCCATTACAGCCGTGAAAATGGAAGGAAGGAATGAAGAAAGAAGAAGAAAGGAAACGGGAAGAGAGCGACAAACGTTGTGGGGTTTGGTCTTTTTTTTTTTTTAATATATATATATTAATTTTTTATTGTATAATCGGTCACAGACTCGCAGGAAGAAAAGAAGAAGAAGAAGAAGAAGAAGAAGAGAATGTTAGAGGGAGAGGAAGGGCAAAATGGTAAAAATGCGTGTGTGGCTTTATTGGGAAGCACGGGGAGAGAGAGGAAATGGGCGCGTCTTTTGGTAATGGGTCGGGAGCAGACGTTGTGGATATTTCTTTCTAATGTCTGTACTTTACCTTCCTTTGCCTCAACCGCTCACTCGTTTTGTTTCGTTTCCAAATTCATATGGGCTCTCTCTTTTTTCTCTTTTTCTTTTTCTTTAACACAAGAGAAAAATATATATGCAAAACTGTGTTAAAAGAAAAAGAAAGAAAGGAGAGGGTCTGTATGTGGGTAATACTAATAATTGGGGATTTTGGTCAGAGAGTGGCAGAGAGAGGAATGGCAATGGATGCGTCACCACAGGCACGGCCACAGCACCCAGTGGTCACCCTCTTCTGACTCTCGTAGCTGTCTGCATGCAACCCTCTACAGATGCTTGTCCCACCACCACCACCAACACCAAATTCTTCAGCCCAATCGACCCATGTCTAATGGACCAAGCTCAAATGATCTCTTCCTGTGTACAGGTTGGCTTATTCAGCTACAATATACGTAGCTCATCTGATTTCGCAGGATGTTATCCAGTTCACGAAGTTTGGTGGAGGGACAAAGAAGAATCAACTAGGTGAGAAAAATCTTATGGGAGCGATGGGACAAAGATATATTAGCATGTAGGAAGGAAGGCTACATTAATAACATGGAACTACTTAGAAGTAGAGTTTGTAGATTGCTTTTTTGCTTTTGAAACGTCGTACAGGCCATAGCAACTGCTATACCACAGGTGCAACCACTTGAAAATGTGAAAGATTTGGAGCCATTGTCAGACTCTACATTATTCCAACATAGATAGGTAGATACCACATAAGCAGGACGGTTTTACCCCATCGCTTGTTTATTTAACAGGACACAGCTCATTGATGTTCCAATTCCTTTTGGAAGTCTGCATTATCAACAAGGACCTACAAAGAGTAATGAAAAGCTTAGCCCACATTTCAAAGCTAATCAACTACTAGGCTTAAGATCACATGTATCTCAAATTTTAAGCTCGAGTGCATGGCATGCGTTATCATATGTTTGGCATCACCATTCAAAGATTTTTTAAACTAAATAATGTTTCCCTTTCAATTATCTCAAATGATCCTTTTTTTTTTTTTCAGAACATTCATGAAGTAAATCTAAAAACACCATACATGAGTAGCATTGAAAACAGCCATTAGAGGTATTCCAACTTGTATTCCTTTATGATACGAAGAATCCTCCAAAAATAAAGACACGATTGCAGTTCCACGTTTTCTTATTAAAAAGGCAAGTGCACTGATCTTACCCCTCGAAAGTAAATCATAATAATAAGTCATTTTTACCATAAGAGTGAGTTGATCGAGACACTTAGAGCCATTTATAGCCCGTTTGGAATGGCTTTCTATTTACTAGTGTTTTAAGTGCAAAAGAAAAAGTATTGGCACTTGAATTTTGACAATTAGAAATAATGTTGGACCAAATTGAATATAGAAAATTACAATAAGATACTTACAGTCTTCCAACCATCAGGATCCAGAAAGGAAACAATTTTTGTGCCGATTCCAGGAAGTGGTCCTGCTTGTCGAGTTATCTTTCCTCCAAGTTCCTGGTTAACCAGTTTGATAACCTCAGCACTCTTATACACATCATCAGTACCAATGGCAACCTGAAACAAACCAAAATAATCGTTTAACAGGTACACAATAGAAAGAAAGAGTTTCCGTTTAAAATTAATTAAATAAATAATAGATGGAGAAAGGTGTGATAAACTCACCTGAGC